ATGCGGTACCATCTCACACCTGTCAGAATGGCCAACATCAACAAATCAACAAACAACAAGTGTTGGCGAGGTTGCGGAGAAAAAGGAACCCTTGTGCACTGCTGGTGGGAATGCAGACTGGTGCAACCACTGTGGAGAACAGTGTGGAATTTCCTCAAAAAACTGAAAATGGAACTCCCATTTGATCCAGTAATCCCACTCCTAGGAATATATCCCAAGAAACTAGAAACAACAATCAGAAAGGATATATGCACCCCTATGTTCATAGCAGCACAATCTACAATAGCCAGAATTTGGAAACAGCCTAGGTGTCCGTCAGCAGATGATTGGATCCAAAAGCCATGGTACATCTACACAATGGAATACTATGCTGCCATAAAAAAGAAGGAATTCTCATCATTTGCAGCAACCTGGATGGAATTGGAGAACAGCATGCTGAGTGAAATAAGCCAATCAATGAAAGAGAAACACCACATGACCTCACTCATTTGTGGATAATAAAGATCATTATAAACTGATGAACCAAAAGATAGATTCAGAGACAGTAAAGCAACAAGCAGAGTGTCAAATTTCAGCGGGGAGGGGAGGAGGATCTGGGGGAGATAATAGATCAACTGAAGGACTTGTATCCATGCATATAAGTACAACCAATGGACATAAAACTCTGGGGAGGGAGGGGATGTGTGGGAGGGAGAGAGGGGGGAAAATCAATAAAATATGTAAAAATAAAAATAAATGAATAAATGAATAAATGAATAAATAAATAAATAAATAAAAATAAAATAAAATTCCAAGAGCAAAAGATAAAGAGAGAATATTAAAAGCAGCAAGAGCAAAGAAGGTAGTTACCTATAAAGGAGCACCTATACGATTGTCAGCTGACTTCTCAACAGAAACCATGCAGGCCAAACGGGAATGGCAAGAAATATTCAAGGTGATGAATAGTAAGAACCTACAGCCAAAGATAATCTATCCAGCAAAGCTATCACTCAGAATCGAAGGTCAGATAAAGAGCTTCACTAATAAAAAAAAAGCTAAGGGAGTTTATCAACACCAAACCAAAATTATATGAATTGCTGAGGAGGGTTCTTTCAGAAGAGAAAGTAAATAAAGATAAAAATTATGAACAACAAATATGTAACTATCAAAAAGTGAATCTGAAAAACAAGGAAATTAAAAAAATCTGATGAACAATATTAACTGTTGAATATAATAGAATCAGAGGTATGGAAGGGGAGTGAACTGACGATTCTTGGGGAAAAGGGGAGAGGGGGATGTGGGAAGAGACTGAACATAAACTGTGCACCTATGGATGAGGACAATGGGGAGTGGGGAAAGGGCAGAGGGTGGGGTGGGAACCTGGTGGAGGAGAGCAATGGTGGAGGAGAAAAAAAGGAACATTTGTAATAATATGAACAATAAAAACTTATTAAAAATTATTATTCTGGAAAAAAGACAAATTATATTTTTTTAAAGGGGGAAGTTTTATTTATTTATTTTTAATATATTTTATTGATTTTACACAGAGAAGAATCAAGAGGCATAGAGAGTTAGAAACATCGATGAAAGAGAAACATCGACCAGCTGCCTCTTGCACAACCCCTACTGGGGATGTGCCCACAACCAAGGTATATGCCCTTGACCGGAATCGAACCTGGAACCTTTCAGTCCGCAGGCCGACGCTTTATCCACTGAGCCAAACTGGTTTCGGCGAAAACAAATTATATTTAAAGGGGAAAAAAAATCAAAGTTAAAAATCACAAACTTAATAGTTTGTTCAAATGAATATCACTATGTCTCTGTCATAGTTTCCTTCAGTGGAAGAAAAAATCCATCCATTTGACATGATAAGATAAAAAAAAAAAAGTGCAATGGGCTTTTTGTTTTTATTTTTGTTTGTTTTTTAAAGTAACATTGAGCCATTTTGTTTTACAAACTAGTGTAGTCATGGGAGTCCTGGTGCCCTCAGTAATGTTTTATTGCTATTATTGACATTGACTTACTGACATCTGTGGCAAATGTGTGGTTGTTGGGTTTTTGTTTTGTTTATTCTAAAATGTCCATAGAATCACTATCACCTACTGCTTTGTAAAAATCTGAGATCTGAAAAGGAACCGCTGAACTGTCGCATTTGACTCCATCTACTCCCAGATGCAAATTCTCTGAGAGAGCACTGCCCCTGCACTCAGGAGAACCAGGTCTGGGTTGGCTTTGCCTTTCCAAGATTCGAGGCTGCCTAAGCTCTGCTCTCTCTCCTTGGGCCTTCTTTCTCTCACCTGCAAAGTGAGGGACAAGGCAACATCACTTCTTAGGTCTCTTGCTGCTCCAACATTTTGCATCTAAAAGCTCATCTCACTCAGAACCTTTAGGATTTAAAGTTTTATTTATTATGGCATGTTAGAAAAAAATAGAAAACAGCCAAAACCGGTTGGCTCAGTGGATAGAGTGTCAGCCTGCGGACTGAAGGGTCCCGGGTTCGATTCTGGTCAAGGGCATGTACCTTGGTTGTGGGTGCATCCCCAGTGGGGGATGTACAGGAGGCAGCTGATCAATGTTTCTCTCTCATTGATGTTTCTAGCTCTCTATCCCTCTCTCTTCCTCTGTATAAAAACCAATAAAATATATATATATATATATTTTTAAATATCAATAGAAACCAAACCGAACCAAATAAGGTTACTAAAATTACCCATAATTAATCTCATCATCCAGGGATAGCTGTTAACATTTTTTTCAAAAAATTAAGAAAGTACTCTTGTTTGTTGGTTTGTTTTTTTATTGTAAAAGTAATATATATTTGTTTTAAAAAATACTTAGACAATTTAGGAATGTTTCTTTAAAGAAGAAAGTATCTTTTACTCTACACCCACCACTTAGAGCAACATGTTAACAGCTTTGCTCATAACTTTTAAGGCTTTTAAAACCATATATGTGCATGTACATTGCTTTCTACAAAAATAAGGTAATACTTTGTACACTACTTTGTTACTTGAAAATACATGTTTATAAATATATTATGAACATTCTTACAACTACTTATAACTTTTAGTATATTTAGTAAATGATTTGCTCTTGTTGAATTAAATCAATATCAATATTCATAACTGCACCAGATCCCTCTCTAATGGTCTGCTGTTGTCACTTGAATGAGCCTTAGGTAACTTTGATTGCTTTTTTTCCAGGTAGACCATGACGTACTTTATTCTGTCAAGTACGAAGTGAAGGAAGGCAACTGTTCTGTTCAAAGTGGCATACCCTGGAAGGAGTGTGACTACAAAGAATCTGAGCAAGCTGTAAGTGTGATGGTTCGGAGCTTCCAGTTTTCTCAATGGAGATTGCCAAATTATTCTATTAGTGCTGAAGGTGATGAGTACTGTTTATTGTTTGTGCACATAAACTCTCAAGTGTGTAGAAAAGTCAAATGGTTGATGTCTATGTTCTTGCATAGACAGGACATGAGAGGCCAACCATGAGATGTGGAGAAAGCTTTTCCGTGAAGAGGGGATTCCTATGACCAACTGGGTGCTTTGTTTGTGCAGACCTGAGTTGGAATTTTACTCTGCCTCTAATTAGCTGACCACTTTTAACCCTGGACTCCTTAGTAAGAGGGAGGTGAAATTGACCTAAATTGGAAGATGAAAGGACATACATATGAAAAAATCTTGTTTTATTAACAAGGTCTCTTAACCAAATGCCTAACATCTGCTTGCCATACCACAGCTGGTTATTTGGCCTTACCTAAGGGAGCTAACAGCCAGTATCTGCCAGAAAGCAATCCACTCTTTTCAGAGTCCATGGACTCACCTTTTTAATGTGTCAAAATGTAATTAATGGCAATGGGGTGTCCACTGGTGGGAAGTGAGGGATTCCTTTTTCCACTGGACATTGGGGAACTGGTCCTCACGATATCTTGAAAAAAAGGATTTTCTAAGAGTCACACAGGAAGATGAGAGATCTTTATTTGTGTGGAATTACACATCTGCATTTCTAAAGTGCCATTTCCCTTAAACCAGTCCTAAAAGAGGAGCAGCTGGGGATTCAGAGAGCCAAAAGCCAAACCAATGTGCCAAGTTTCCATTCCATGGTGGAGCTGGGTGAGGCAAAGCATCAGGCTATGGGCCATCTATCAGTCCATTGTATGTGTGTTTGGGGGTTGGGGGGGGAGGGGGGAATTATGGCTGGGGGCCATAAGGGAGCATGCAGGGAAGTGTGCAAGAGAGAGAACTTTGTTTAGAAGTTTAATATCTGAAATCTTCCTGTGCTTGCATTGGCCAAACCAATGTTCCCAGGTGTGACTGACAGACAAGTACCTGCCCTACCTCACCCAGATTTTACTGGGCCTGTGTCTATTTGGCCTTCCCTTTGCTCCTTTTCTGTGAATAACTGGGTATTACCATGGTATCAAAAACTCCACATCCTCTGTACAGTTGAACCCTGAAGTTGAACCTTTTTTTTAAAATATATTTTATTGATTTTTTTACAGAGAGGAAGTGAGAGAGATAGAGAGCTAGAAACATTGATGAGAGAGAAACATCGACCAGCTGCCTCTTGCACACCCCCTACCGGGTATGTGCCCGCAACCAAAGTACATGCCTCTGACCGGAATCGAACCTGGGACCTTTCAGTCAACAGACCAATGCTCTACCACTGAGCCAAACTGGTTTTGGCTGAAGTTGAACCTTAAGAAGAGAGTCTGGCAGGCTAGTTTTAGGGCATTGTGTTCACCTTGGTGAAAAAGAAATATGTCCAGTGCTCCAAACATAACATTATTTTAAATCTCACTATCTACACCGCCTCTCCTCAGGACATCTCATGAATATCAATGACTTGTAAATAATAATGATTAAGCTACAAAATCATTTCATTCTTGTGTCTCAAAACTCTGTTAGAAAAGAATCTCAAGTTTTAAACAAGAGAAAAGCCATACTTAGCAACAGCACTAGGTGCACTTCTCCATCTGAAAGATCAAGATAAATGGTCTCCTTTTTCTTTCTTTCTAGGCCACAGGAGAATGCACGGCCACCATAAGGAAGAGGCATCGGGATAGGGATTTCTCCGTGACAACCCAGACCTGCCACGTTACTCCAGGTAGCTGATATATAGGGTGGCACTGCCCAGGAGCATAAACTGGACAAAGCCCCTTCCCAGAGGGCAGTGGGTGGCTGCACAAGGCCATTTGCAGCCTTGGTGGGGGTTGGGGTCTGTGGTGACAGAGTCCTGAGGTGGTGCCAGGCTCCTGCCAGTCATCCCCTGGACTCTCCCTGATCAGCAGCTCTCAATTAAGGGTGTGCAAATGCTCTGAGAAAGGACTAGAAAACATGCCACATGCTTCAATTACAGGGGTGTCCTAGAGCCAGAAAAGCATAGGATTTGAAGTCAGATCCGGCCTGCAATCCTTCAAAAGCTCTTCACCTTTTTTATTCCCCTTTTCCTGAAAATGGAATCACAGTAATTCTCACTGCAGAGGGTTACTGAAGATTGAAACTAGATGGCAGGCTTGAAGTTACAAGCATAAGAATGTAATCATCATCAGAATAAAAGTAATCATGGCTGACATTTATTGAGCACCTGTTGCTAGCTTCAGTGCTAATTGTTTTACATATGTTGATTTATTTAATCCTCACAACAATTCTATAAGGCAAGTGTTAATGCTCTCATTTACAAATGAGGAAACCCAGGCCCAGCACAGTTAAATATCTTCCCCAGTATCCCATAGCTATCAATTAATAGAGTTGATATACTAGACCTTGTAAAAATGGAGCCACTTATGCAGAGATATAACCACTATTAGCTCCTTCCCTCTGGTGGCACGGTGGCTGGGTGCAGAAGAATGGGCACATCTAGGGAATGTTAATCACAAAAGCCAACCCAGAACTGGCCTTTTGCAAGATAGGGTTTTAGTATAGGAGACTCAAGAATAGCATCCTCAGCAATACTTCTGAACATCAATGGAGGAGCAATTTTGTGTCTTGGCCTTAGTCATCCATAAGGAAAACTATATTTCTTGAGTTTCAGCTCTTGCAAGAAGTGGCATTCAAAGAAAAGCAGTTGAAAACAGAAAAGAAATCACAATTTTTTTAAAAAATGTTGGAATTGTTTTTTATTACTTAGTCTAAGAACTTTATCTCATAAGCAAATTTTCACATGATGCAGAACACTGCACTTATATACTAGGAGAGAAAAAGCTCTTTGCCACACCTTATTGTTCTGCAATTACTACTAGTAATTTCATTGATTTTAGATAGGAAGGGAAAGGGACAGAGATAGAAACATCAATGATTAGTGAGAAGCAATGATTGGCCTCCTCATGCACACCCCCCACTGAGGATCAAGCCCCCAACTCAGACATATGCCTTGACCAGAATTGAACTCAGGTCTCTTCGTAATTCCGCAGGCCAACGTTCTATCCACTGAACAACCAAACCAGCTAGGGCACTACAATGATTTTTTAATAAATTTAAAATAATTATGCACAATAGTATGCACATAAATTGTTTCTAAGTTAATATTAGATTTTTTCCATTCTGAAAAAAGCAGTTCTGCTGAAACCGGCTTGGCTCAGTGGAGAGAGCGTCAGCATATAGACTGAAAAGTCCTGGGTTTGATTTCAGTCAAGGACATGTACCTTGGTTGCAGGCACATCCCTGGTAGGGGCTGTGCAGGAGGCAGCTGGTCGATGTTTCTCTCTCATCAATGTTTCTAGCTCTCTATCCCCCTCCCTTCCTCTCTGTAAAAAATAAATAAAAATAAAAAATCAATAAAACATATATTTTTCTTAAAAAGCAATCCTGTGTTCCCTTTTCCTAATACATAATAGAATTTACTAGCAAGTCTGCTTACCATAGTCTTCAAAATTATCTTACTTATTTAGGACAATGTATCTGAATGTGGGTTTTGCTCATTAACGCTGCCCTTTTGTCTACTTTTTCTTTGTCAAGCCAAGGGCCCTGTGGTGACCTCCGAGTATGAATGCCATGGCTGTGTGTACCCCATAACAACAGTCCCCCATGACTTGGACCCTGTTCTGAGACATGCCATTCAACATTTTAACAACCACACTGATCATTCCCACCTCTTTGCTGTGAAAGAAGTAAAAAAGGCACAGAGACAGGTTTGTGCTTTAGTTTTCATTTCTCACAGTATTGTTAAAATTTGCTTGATCTTTATGTTTAGGGTTTCATTGCCTAAAATAAACCATTGGTCAATAGAAAACCTATGATTCCATGACCAGTGGTGAGGCAGCTCTTTTTGTCCTCATCTGACTGGCATAGGAGGTAAAGATCTTTCTCTTGAGTCAAAGTGATTCAGAAACTGCAATATATAAAGGGGAAAAGTGTGGCTAATCAGAACCCTGGCTCTGAGGTGGGTTTTAATGAATGGGTAGTCAGAAATACATGTTTTTCTGAGAGATGGTGAGATGAAAAGATCAGTCTAGCCTTAAGGTTTTGAGAAAATTACATTATCACTTAGCTATCATGAGTCAAACATGACTCCAAAATATTATATGGTACCCAAACAGGTGGCATGGCTTTCTGAGAACTTTCTAAATTTTCTGAACTCTCTAAATTATAGTTTTCATATCATTAAAAAAAAAGAAATACTTGGAAATCTGGCCTTTTCATTGACCCACTTTACTAAGTTTTTAGTGACAGTTGACTGGGTCATAATTTCAGTGTCTAATTATGAGGGACTTATGTTAGTCAGTAACAGTCCCTGCTTTCAATAGACCACCCAACTTCCCTTCATGCAAGAGCTTGTTCTACTCAATTATGTTCATAGCAGCTATCTGGGTGGGACTAGCCTAAGATAAAGCAGCACAGAAAGTACTGGCTTACTGTCTGGGAACTTGAGAACTTATCAGTAAAGGCCATTCTAGCTCCAAGGTTTTTTTAAGGTTCTAAAAGAGTATTATTAATATTTCACAAAATTCAAAAGCTCATTATTTTTCTGTTGGCTGGCTGAGGAAATGTTGCTAAGTTTTTCTTAAAGAAATACAGTAATTCCACCTATATATTGCCTTTTATTTTCAGACTAGAGGCCCAGTTCATCAAATTCGTGCATGGGAGGGAGAGGGTCCAGGTCCCCTCAAGCCCAGCCTGCACTCTCTCCAATCCAAAATCCCTTGGGGGATGTCCGACTGATGGTTTAGGTCCAATCCCATGTATTTGTCCAAAACTGGCAGTCAGACATCCCTCTCACAATCCTGGATTACTGGCTCCTAACCGTCCACCTGCCTGCCTGCCTGATTGCCCCTAACTGCCTTCCTCCCTCCTCCTCCCCCCTGGCCAGCCTGATCACCCTTAACCACTTTTGCCTGCTGGTCTGACCACCCATCACTGCCCCACATCTGGTCTGATCACCCCTAACTGCCTCTGCTTGCTGGCCTGATTGCCCCCAACAGTCCTTCCCACTGGCCTAGTTGCCCCTAACTGCCCTGCCCCACGACCTGGTCACCCCTAATTGCCAGCCCCACCAGCCTGATCACTCCTAACTGCCCTCCTCCGCTGGCCTGGTTGCCCCTAACTGCTCCTCCCTGCTGGCCTGGTCACTCCCAGCTGGCCTCCTGCCAGCCTGGAAGCCCCAAGCAGCCTGCTTGCTCAGTCATTTGGTCACCCATCACTAACCCTCCTACCAACCCGGTTGCCCTATGTAGTCTACTGCTCAGTGGTTTGGTCGTCCTTCAATAACCCCCTGCCAACCTGGTCACCCCACACAGCCGGTTCAGTCAACTGTTCAATTGTTTCAGTTGCCATGGTGACTTAGGCTTTTATATATATATAGATTTATCGGAATGTGTGTGTGTGTTGAGGAGTGTGAGAGTCATAAAGTGCTTAATACTTATTCAATAATGACATTTGCCTAGCAATAATAGTTTATATGTTTGAGTACTTTAAATATGCCAGGCAGTATTCTAAGTTCCTTATAATACACTGAATAATGTTTAAACTGCCCTTTAACTATTCAATTCAACATTGTTTCAGATGGAGTCCGGATGGAACTATGAAGTTACTTACTTAATTGAGCAAACTAATTGTTCCAAGGAGAATTTTAAAGTCTTAACCCGAGACTGCAAGGCCCTTCTCAAAGGTGTAAGTAGGCTAAAATCAAATTATAAAGTTATTAGCATTTGGTATCCAGTATTTACAGGTGTGGGAATACTCAGATACCTAGGAAGACTTGGCCTCTAAGATTTTAGATGACATGCATGAATTCACAGCCACATTCTCCATGTCACTAGTCAAGCTGCCTTACTTAACAAACTCTGTACATCTATTGGCAATAAGCATTTGTATGTATAACCAGTGCCTGATATAAAATGATGTCCTATCAAGTTTGTCCTTTCATGTCTTCACATTTTCCTGTCTCCTATCCTGCCCCACCTCTAAGGTCCTTCCCGGTGCTCCTGAGCTCTGCCCAAGACTCTCCTTAACTTCAAACTTGCCTTTGCTTATTTTATTCTCTCCCCTCCCCTTTCCTTCCTTTATTTTTTTTATTTTTATTTTTTTTAATATATTTTATTGATTTTGTACAGAGAGGAAGGGAGAGAGATAGAGAGTTAGAAACATCGATGAGAGAGAGTCACCGATCAGCTGCCTCCTGCACCCCCCCGCCCCCCACTGGGGATATGCCCGCAACCAAGGTATATGCCCTTGACCGGAATCGAACCCGGGTCCCTTCAGTCCCCAAGCCGATGCTCTATCCATTGAGCCAAACCGGTTTCAGCTCCTTCCTTTATTTTTAATAACAATCCTGAGCCTCCATCACTTTATCAGAACCAAAGTTATGTTACAAGAGTGTATCACAAGGTGGCAGTAGTTAGTGCATGTGTGGATACCTAAGGTACAATGACCATCTCAGGGACATTTGCATTTTAGCAGAAAACTACTTAAAACAGGTGATTGCTTCAAGCCCTTAGTCTGTTATTCTACTTCTACAATTCCATTATGTGGGAAGAAAATGAGAAACTCAGACAATAAGATATTACATTCAGCATTATTATCAATAGAAAAACATTGGAAATGTTTTCAACATTAGTGAATGTTTAAATAAATTACAGTATATCCATTCAGTAGAATATATGCAGCCATTGAAAGTATGCTTACAGATTTTTTTAGTGACTTAGTAAAATGGTTATAACATGGTAAGTTAAAAAAATATATATAAGTGTAGATACATATTCATTTAATATATAAAGTAAATGTAAATATCAAAAGTGATAGAGGGGTCCTGGCTGGTTTGGTTCAGTGAATAGAACATCGGACTGCAGACAAAAGGGATCTAGGTTCAATTCAGTTAAAGGCACATGCTCTTGATCCCTAGTAGGGGGTGTTCAGGAGGGAGCCAATCAATGAGTCTCTCTCATCATTGATGTTTCTATGTCTCTCTCCCTTTCCCTTCCTCTCTGAAATCAAGAAAAATATATTTAAATTAATTTAAGAAGAATTGATGTGTGTATTATATTTTATCTTTTCAGTCAAGAACTTGGCATACATGTATACTTAATCAAATTTTATTTTAAACTTCTAAAAGTGGTGTAATTTTATTTATATGTCCAGAACATTGCTCACTGAAGTTATTTCTAAGTTTTGTAAGCATGTTTTTTGTTTATTTGTTTATTTTTTATTATTGCTCTGAAGAATTAAACCATTTTATTTTTTTAATATTATTTTTATATAAATGTATCAATTTAGATATATTTACCTTATATTCAGCAAGTTAGCTCTGATTAACTCTAACAGCTTTGCATTCTTTCCTTTGATTGTCCTATGTGTAAAATAAGGTATTATTTTATCTCCTTTTTTCCAATGCTCAAGTTTTGTTCTGTGTCTCAATGAATTGAGGAAACTTCCAGACATATTCCACACATATTTGTGTTTCACTCTTGATTTTATTGGAAACATCTCTAGAATTTTGTCATTTATAATATTTGCTATGGGTTCCAAGTAGGCATTCATATTAAAGAAGCATCTTTACATCCTTACATTCCTGCTTTTAAAGAACTTCGTTTGTTTTTTTAGTAAGAAATTGGTGTTAACAGACTCTTATCGATAGATATAGAGAAAAAAACTGACAGCTTTCAGAGGGGAGACAACTCGTGGGGTTAGGTGAGAAAGTTGAAAGAATTAAGCAAAAAAACAAAATCCCAAAAACTCACAGACAGATTACCAGAGAGAAAGGGGTTGGGGGAAAGTAGAAGAAAATAAAAGGGGGATAAGTGATGACAGAAGGAGACTTGACTTTGGGTAGTAAACACTCACTTCAATATACAGATGACATATTATAGAATTGTACACTTGAAGCTTATATATTTAACCAAGGTGACACCTACAAATTTTTTTAATTTAAGAAAAAAAATTTGTGTTAGAATTTAACAAATGCTTTAAATATGTATTCAAATATCATGTTACGTATTTCTAATTTAATCTGTTACGTTGTTTTGACAACTTTTTAATAATAACCTCTAGATTCATAAACTCTATTTGCCTAGTGTTAATTATTCTTTAAATGTGCATTTGGATTTTATTTTTAGTTTAAGAAATCTACATCTTTATAAGTGCAAGTGGTTTGATAGTTTTCTTAGTGTGTTTGTGTGTGCATCCTATTTTTTCAGGTTTTGGTGTTCAGATTATAGTTTTCTAGAATGAATTGGATATGTGTTACATGCAGTTGAGTCAGCTCTGACTCCTCATGACCCTATGAATGAGTGATGGCCACACTGTCGTTACCCAAACAGCTCTGTTGAGCACCTGTAGACTCATTTCTGTGGCTTCTCTTATGGAGTCATCAGTCCATGTCATATTTGGTCTTCCTCTTTTCCTGGTGCCTTCTATTTTGTAGTTAGATGGTTAGCCACTATTTTTTGACTTGAGTCACTATTTTCTATATTCAGAAACAGTTTACATAGCAAAGAACTAAATGTTTCTTTAATTTTAAAAAATTATTTATCTGTAAAACATCTATGTTGTTTGGAGGTGAGAAAAGGAATGGAAGTTGAGAGTAATGATAGTATTCTCTGTTCTTCAGTTACTGGTCCATTTAAATTTGTTCTTGTGTTTAAGTTAGTGTTAGTTATTTATAGTTTTCCAGAAAAGAGTCCATTTCGTTGGGATTTAAAGTAGCATTCACTTGTTCATAATTATTCTCTTATACTTTTAGCATCTTTTTACCTTTGCTATGATGCTTTTTTTTTGCATTTGATTTTTTTTTTCTTATCCCAAGAATGACCATTTAGATTTATTAATGGTTTCTGTTTTCTAGTTCATCAGTTTTGCTTTATTGTTTCTGCCTTTTTTGTTTTGTTTAAGGCTATTTATTATTCTTTTCCTTTTTCTAACTTTCTGATATAAATAAACTCGGTTTGAGGTTGTCTTGTTTGTTTCTTGCCTCTTTCTCTTTAAATTTCAAAAGCATATAAAGCCATGAGTATGATTTCAAGTGCGGCTCTGTCAACATTCTGTAAACTTCTCAGTTTTCTTGTTTTGTTTTTTATATTTTTCCTTTTCCAAATAAGACCCTGACTATTTAGGCAAATGTGTTTAGATTTCCAAGTAGATAGGTTCTTGTTTATTTGTTTAAATATATTTTTAGAAATCTTCTTCTTTTGGTGCTGAGATCAAAGGACATTGAAAGTATTCTTTCATTTTGGAAATGTACTGAGCCTTTCTTGTAACCTAACATAAAAGCAATTCAGCCCTAACCAGTTTGGCTCAGTGGCTAGAGCATCAGCCTACAGACTGAAGGTTCCCAATTTCCATTCTGGTCAAGGGCATGTACCTTGGTTGCTGGAACATCCCCAATAGGTAGTGTGCAGGAAGCAGCTGATCGATGTTACTCTCTCATCGATGTTCCTAACTTTCTATCCCTCTCTGTTCCTGTCTGTAAAAAAATCAATAAAAAATATATTTTAAAAAAGCAATTCAAAATATCTGTGTCAGAGTTATAAAAATATCATTTAAGTCATTTAGGTCATACCACCTAAATACTTTTTTATTATTTTATTCATTTTTATTATGTTATTTTTTTGTCCAGTTGGTCTACCTTAAATATATAGTTGTATATAAAATTTCTCCACCACCATTATTTTAATCTATTTCTCACATATATATCTAATTTCTGTCTTCTGTATTTTAACTCCATGCTTCTAGACTATATCTTTTTTTATTAAATTATAATCTGTGTACATATTTTAACATTTCCCCCCCCTATACATACCCTCCCTCCCCAGAGTTTTGTGTCTATTGGTTGTACTTATATGCATGTATACAAGTCCTATATCTTTATAAATATAAAATTATCTTCTTTACTACCATCATGAGTTTTTTTGTTACCTTGAATTTTCCTTTGTCCAGTATTAGTAATACGCTAGATCTTTTTTCTGTTTATATTTACTTCATATAGTTTTATCATCCATTGTGTTTGATCTACTTTTATCCTTTATATTACATTATTCTTTAAAAAAAATGTAATATATTAATTTGTTTTTAACTTAATTTGGAAGTCTTTGCCTTTGTAAAATAAAAACATGTTTATATTGAATTGTAGAAAGAGAGGATGGGAGAATGATAGAGAAATAGAAATACCAATGAGAGAAAAACATCATCGATCAGCTGCCTCCTGCACACCCCACTCTGGGGATCTAGCCCAAAACCTGGGCATGTGCCCTGACCAGGAAATCTAAACGTGACCTCTTGGTTCCTGGGTTGATATTAAACCACAGAGCACATGGTCTATTCTGGAATTCTTTGTCTTTCTAAAAGATATTTCACCTATTCAAATATATTATTTTTAAATATATATTTATTGATTTCAGAGAGGAAGGGAAAGAGTGAGAGAGATAGAAACATCAATGAGTGAGAGGACCATTGATCAGCTGCCTCCTGCAGATCCCACACTAGGGATCAAGCCTGCAACCTGAGCATAAACCCTGACTGGAAAACGAACCGTGACCCCCTGGTTCATAGATTGGCACTCAACCACTGAGCCATGCTGGCTGGGCTTTATGATTATTATTTCTGTGGTAGGTATTCTTGTCATCTTATTTCATGTGTTGTATAAATATATTTATTGTTGTTGATAATAATACCTAATTGTTTCTTATTCTCTCTTTTGCAGTAGGATTATATTTTGTTTTGTTTTCTTTGCAAAGTCAACATCCTATATTTAATTTTACTAGTTGTTTACTTTAAAAGTTCTTAAAAACCTTTTTTAACTTATTTACTTTTAAAAATCTAGAATACCGGTAAATGTACAGATCTTGCACACGTGGATCCTCAGCTAAGAATTACTTCATTCTCACAGAAGTGTAGGTTTTTATCAGGTATGTGATAATACATGTTTGTGCTATATTAGTATATGCTGATCTAAGACAACTGGTGAGGTTTTTTTTTTTTTATATAGGAATTGTGCTTTAGGTGCAATGATATTATATAATCAACAACCTTTACAGTTTTTCCCCATTTCTGCACAGCTGTGTGCTGTAGCTGATGCACTTGGGACTGCTCTCCCAGTGGCCAGAGGGAATATGGTGATGGAAGGAAAGATATGTTCTTTGAGCAAAACTGACCTCTAGATGCAATGTCAGCTGGTCTTTCTGGTGAATCAGATGTCACTACATCAGGTGTTATAAATTGGGGAAGCTGTGTCTCCTATTTAATCACTCAGAATAAAATTCTTTCAATTACATACTTTTTTCCTCCTGCAGGTTATAATGGGGGAAAGTGAGATAGTGCAAATTTATGGTCAAGCCAGTGTTTCATATACCAAGAGTTGGCTTTTCTTATTTAGAAGATGTTTGCATTCATTCCACAGTGAGAAGCATCATTGAAGCTCCCTGCTCACTAGAATCAGAGGACTTAAAATTTACCCACCTGAGAATCATTTCTTTAAATTAAGCATTGCTTTTTTACACTTTCTTTCAAAAATGCAAAAACTTAGGAACAGTGCAGCTCATTGATATTGAAGGTGTACTAGCTAACACCTTCTGATGGAAGGTTTCACTAAATACCCTTGACTCTGAGGAGAGGAAAAGAGGACAGGCAGTAAGGTGAAGGTCATACAGACAACCTCTACCCGCTCACTACTGGCCTTTAGGCTGCACATGGCCCTCTGCTAATTAGTGCTGGACAATGTGCAGGAGAGGTACTAGGATAGACTGTTTCTTCGGTGCACACACTGACTTATACCTGCTTCTTCTTTCAGCGGAGGATTTTTTCATTGGTTGCCCTGGCTGCCCATCAGAGATACCTGTCGACAGCCAAGATGTGAAGAGGGTTCTGTCTCATTCCATTACAAAATTTAATGCAGAGAATAATGCAGCTTTCTATTTCAAGATTGACATTGTGCACAGAGCAACATCACAGGTCTGTAAATTAAGCTACAAAAATAGTGGCATTATAGCCTATATGCAAACTGCTTACTAATATTGCCACGGATCTTGGATTAAGAAATAGTATATCTGGTAAAAGGAATTGAATGTCACCCTCAACCTCACTACATGCTTGCTATGTGATCTTAGACAAATCATTTAGAACATTCCTTTTTTTTGTCTGTAAAGGACTGGGGTGAGGCTCAAAATAATATACACTGAGTGGCCAGATTATAATGACTTTGAACACATAATAATCTGGCCACTCATTGTATGTATGTGTGTGTGTGTGTGTGTGTGTGTGTCTATAAGGCCTGGTGCATGAATTAGTGCATGGGTGGGGTCCTGCCAGCCTGGCCAGGGAGAAGTGACAAGGGTGGTTGGCCATCCTGCCTGCTGGTCAAATTCCTAGTCAAGGGGACAATTTTCATATTAGCCTTTTATTATATAGGATATACACTGAGTGGTCATATTATTATGCATTCAGACATCATAATAATCTGGCCACTCAGTGTATGTCAAGCCTTGGCTGGGTACTGAGTTGGTTAGAGCATTGTCCCAATATATCAAGTTTGCAGGTTCATCCCCAGTCAGGACAACTACAAGAAACAACCAGTGAATGCATAAATAACTGGAACAAAAAAGATAATATATGTGAATACATTATCTTCTGGAACTTTAAAGTGTTATATAAATTCTAGCAACTATTATTTACACTAGTAAAAGAGAAACATGCAAATTAACCATCACTCTGCTACACCCACAAGCCATAGCCACCAGACAATCAGGAGCAAGTATGCAAATTAACCCAATCAAAATGGCTGTGGTCACTGAGCTGCAGCAAACAAGAGGCTTGGGTTTCCCTGGCAATGGAGAAAGCCAAGCTTCTCTGGTACCCTGGCCAGCCCTGGCCTCTGCTAAAGGCTACAAAGTTTCAATTATAGATGATAAATAAATCCCAGATACCAGGGCTTCTGTTTGTGTCCCCAGTGGGCATGGCCAGCCTGAAAACTACCATAGGCCTCTCGCCCAGGCTACCCCGTGCCCAAAGGGAATCCTCACCCTGATTCGGGGCACCTTCAGGGCAAACTAGCCAACTCCTACCCATGCACCAAGTCTCTAACCTATCTAATAAAAGAGTAATATGCAAATAGACCATCACTCCAACACACAAGATGGCTGTCCCCGTGTGGCCAAAAGATGGCCCCCACAAGATGGCCAGCAGGGGAGGATTGTTGGGAGGGATCAGGCCTGCAATGGAGGGCAGTTGTGGGCGATCAGGCCAGCAGGGGAGGGCAGTTGGGTGGGACCCAGTAGTAAGGGATGGTAGTTGCAGGTGATAAAGCCTGTAAGGGAGGGCAGTTAGGAGTGATCAGGCTGGCAGAGGAGGAATGTTGGGGATGACCGGGCCTGCAGAGAAAAGCAGTTTTGGGGGACCCAAGCCTTCAGGGGAGGGAAGTTAGGGGTGAACAGGCCTGCATGAAAACGCAGTAAGGGGCAATCAGGCTGGCAGGGGAGTGGTTAGGGGGTGATCTGGCTGGCAGGCAGAAGTAGTTAGGGGCAATCAGGAAGGAAGGTGAGCATTTGGGGGCCAGCTGTTCTGGAATGTTTGGGATTCTGGATCCTGGTAGGATTGGGCCTAAATGGGCAGTCAGACATCCCTCAAGGGGTGCCAGGTTGGAGAGGGTCCAGGCTGGGCTGAGGAACACCATCCCACCTTCCAGTGTACAAATTTTGTACACCCGGCCTCTAGGATAATTAATAAAAAGTAAGACAAGGAAAAGCTACTTTTATTCTCTGCCTTTTCAGAGTCCTTTCTTACTGTAGTATCACTTAGTGCCTTAGGATCAGCCGTATGTCAGTCTATCATCACCCAGACTCTCTTCACACTCTCACTTCCATGTCACTTCCCCCCTGCCTAGATGTCCTTCCAGCCCACAAATGTGCCCTCTACTGCTTCATCTTCTTTCCATGCTCTGTCAGTAGATAAGGATCATCTTCGTCCAGGGGTCAGGAACCCAGTTCAACCTGAGCCCCAGCCCTCATGTCCTGGGTAACCCTGAGCTGTCATTCAGACTCACTCAGTCTTTGTGGCCCCATCTGTAAAATGAGTAGCTGGGTGAGAAGAGCCCAAATTTCTCCCAACTTTAATGGCATTTGAGTAATCTATTCATGGGCAGATTCCTATTATAACCCTCAAAACTGGCCTCTCTAAATGTAAACAAAACAGAACCAACAAAAATAATCAAAATGGAACCAAACTGTTTCAACACACCAACATAATCTGATGTTGGGGGAGGGAAACTTACTTATAACAATTCATACTTTTGGCTCAGTAATTGAATGTCTAGAAATTTGAAATGGTGTCTTTATAGACAATGATACTCATTGTAGCTTTAAGTATAAAAGGCAACATGATAAATTGTCAAAACAATCAATATTATGTAAATGATCAAATAATATCTGACATATTCTTAAAATAGAATATCAAGGAGCAATTTTAAAGCATCTTTGTGAGGAGTTCTTGATGTGGGAAATGCCTTGTGATAAAATATGCAGTGGGAAATAAGAGGCCATAAAATTCACTATAAATTCAGTTGTCAGGTGTCTTATAAAAACGTATGGAAAACAACACTGAAAGGAAACAAATGCCTCCAACTATTCAGAGTGGTAACTTTAGGTGTTGGCACAATGGGCTGTTTATTTTCATCTTCTAAATCCTGTATTAGTTTTGCTTCTGCAGGGGAAACCTAACCAAATGGTATTGAAATAAGTCAAAACTGACACTTTGCTCTTCTACTCAGTCACTTATTCCTGCCCCTGACACCACAACCGTTTCTCCCTCATTTCACGGGCACATGATCCATGTTTGTGGTGGTACTCATATGGTACACCAATCCATGCTGTTGTTTTTTTAAATTTAAATTCTTTATTGTCTAAAGTATTACATGTCTCCTTTCCTCTTGCCCATCAACCTCTCCCTGCCTTTCCCACACCCAGCACATGCCCTCACCCTCTGCTACTGTCTGTGTATGTGAGTTCTGCTTATCGGCATGCATACAAGACTTTTGGTTGCTCTCTTACCCACCCACAAACCCAATGCCATTCTTGTGTTTGTCAGCTTTTCTTCTCACTTCAGATTTCTGCTTTCTTATGAAACTCCCCTATTCCTGATGCAGGAATACCCTCTACTTCACCATATATTGCTTATCAGAGGTTTGCTGTCAGGAGAAAACCACTCGTTTTACACATGATTATCGAGTCTTCATAGTACTTGCAGTTCTCTGTAAATTAATGAATCCATATCCCAGCATGGTGTGTATTTGTTTATGCCAAGGATGCCAGGGGAACAACAGGTAATACTGTAAATTGAAGGGAGCTGACATTCCTTCACTTGCCAAGTCAATTGAAATATGATGATAAACTCAGACTTACTTACAAAGATGAATATTTACTGGCTTTTACATTTAATGAGAACAATTTGGCTCTTCTAACACGATTATTCAAGGAGGCCCTGCTGGATGCAGCTGAGTTACTGGAAATCCATTTACTATTTGATGATTTTGCCAAATGACCAATTTTTGCCAAAGATTTATTTTACAGATTTGCTCTTGCCTTGGCTTTGCATATTTAGTCCTATTTTGGATGCATGTCCATTTCCAGCTGGTTTCAGATGCCAAATATTTCTTAAATTTCTTTAATTTGCACATGCGAATGATGTGATTTCTGTCATAGGCCAATTCTTTTGCTCTGCCTCTGCCGCCACTGTCCCCACTGTTGTCCATATTCCTCCCTATCTTAGATGTATATACTTCAAGGACCTGTGTGTGCACATTCAGGAATTTTTCCTTTAAACAAAGTACTAGAAATGTCTAGGCATATGTGTATGTGTAAGACTTCTGATGCCAATTGCCAAATTGCCAAACTATTTGCTATTAAGCCATTTTACATTCATACCACCTGGCCATAGGACCTTGATCATCTTGCTTTGAGTTCTATTCCTACCAATAGTGTCTGAGCTGTGTGTTCCCACATGTGGCCAATACCAGGTGTCACCACTGTTTTTTTTTTTTATCTTTGGCAACATATGGAAGATTAAAAGTGCTGTTGTGTTGTTGGTTTTTTAATCTTTGGTTGTTAATGAAGATAGTCATTTGTTTCTGGCTTAATGACCATTTTAACTTCCTTTCTGAAATACTTGCTCATGTCTTTTGTTCATTTTTTCCTGTTGGACTTTATATGCATAAGTATATTAAACTTACATTATATTTTTCCCATATATTTTTTTTTAACTTTGCTTGCTCTGATTTTTGAGAATCAGTTGTCCTTTCTATCTGAACAAGTATAGATATTTTCTCCATTTAGGTCTTCTTCCTCTGCTTTTCACCTAAGAAAGGCCTTCTTCATCCTGAGACCTGATATATATATATATATTTATATCTTTTGAGTTTATTTTTTTAATTTAAATTGTTAATAAATTTGGACTTTATTTATTTATTTATTTTGCTATGTTGTTATCTCTACTTTAAAAATAAAGGTTGAGCAGGATGGATTTGAGCAGGGAAGACTTTTGATAAGAATGACACCTGAGCCGAAACCGGTTTGGCTCAGTGGTAGAGCATTGGTCTGTGGACTGAAAGGTCCCAGGTTCGATTCCCGTCAAGGGCATTTACATTGGTTGTGGGCACATCCCCGGTAGGGGGTGTGCAAGAGGCAGCTGGTCGATGTTTCTCTCTCATTGACGTTTCAAGCTCTCTATCTCTTTCCCTTCCTCTCTGTAAAAAATCAATAAAATATATTTTTCAAAAATTAAAAAAAAGAATGACACCTAATAATAATGGCAATAGAAAGGCCCTCAAATGGAAGATTACATCTATTTAATTCCTTCTTCTTGACCTGAATAGAGTTGAGCCATCAGTGTGGTTTGTGTCACATATTGTCAAGTTTCTTAGGCAACATTATTTTAATAAACATTATTATTACAGAAAATTAGATTAAGATATATTCTGAAATGAGCAAGAAAACACATGATCACCAAAATATAAACCCTAAAACACTCTCAGAACCTTCCTCCCAATTTACACCTATACCTAGAGTCTTAAGAATTAAGGGTCAAATTTTTCTTAAAAATTCAACAATGTTTACCCAGCAGAAAAATGCCAGGAAAAGTAGAGGGGGGCTTAGTTCTTCCTATGACTTTGTTCTCCTGCTCTCTTCCTCCCACCTCACGTTTTCCATACTGTTTAAAAACACAGAGATAGGGAAGACTGTTGTGGTTTGCTTTTTGAATGAAATTCCACTGTCACCCTATAACTTCATTTATTTTACTTCTTAATACGATTTTATTGATTTTAGAGAGAGAAGAAGGGAGAAGGAGAGAGAAACATCAATCCACTGTCTTGTGCATGCCCCTGACCCCCACCCCACACCTGGGAATTAAAGCTACAATTCAGGCATGTGCCCTGACTGAGAATCAAACTCGGGACCCTTTGCTTCATGGGATGACATTCAATGGACTGACCCACACCAACCAGAGCTGTAATTTCATTTTTTAAAATAATAGTCATCTCTCCAGGTTAACTGATATATTCATGTATTTTTACACACACACACACACACACACACACACACACACACACATTTAGATCCTAGAATCAAGTACTAAATAACTTGGACTAGAAATTGGGCCATTATCAATGTACTTTTTAACATATAATTTAAAGTTATTTTTACCAAGTATATTTTTTTAAGTATAAGAGATGTACGATATGGTATTTTGAAATTACGTTTTAAAAGCCATGTGTGCAATTTTATTGAAGTCATTGCATTTTAAAAATCACAAGTTTAATTTTTTAAATAAATAAAGTATGCCACTTTTATATAAAAACAAATTGGGCAACAAAATATTCATTGTGAAACCAGCATCATATAAAGATTAAAACTGTTGCTTAGTGTACTGGCCACTGTGGCTCAGTTGGTTGAACCACGCCCCTAGCACCAAAAGTTTGTGGATTCAATTCCCAGTAAGGGCACAGACCCAGGCTGTGAGCTTGATCCCAAGTAAGGTGCATGGAGGAGGCAGCTGATCAATGTTTCTCTTTTACCCTCTTTCTTCCTCTCCCTCTATAAATCCATTTTTTAAAAAATTATTGGTAGAGATTAAAATGGTTTCTTAAAATAAAACAATTAAGAGAGGCAAACTAAAAATTCCAAAGAATTTTCCTAGTCAAGAATTTAACCCACAATTTCTGTAGTGACACTAACTCGGTATTTCTCTGATTCAGGACTTGGCATGACAAGAAGGCATACCTAACAAAAATGTTCAAGTTTTTCTTCCTACTCTTCTTAGCCAACTTGAGCGCTTGAATGTTCTTGAATAATTATATAAAAGGAAACAAGATCAACCAACAGCCAAATTTTTAACACGTGCCTAGAAACTAAAAATTTAGTTGTTAACTATTTGTACTTTATTTGTATACTTCTCATTTGAGCAGTGAATAATTAAAATTTTAATATCCCCACTAAGATCCCTTAGGGTAAAAACATATCATTTATTATATAATATTAATTAAGATTCTACTTTGTGCTAATTAATTTTCCAGGTGATAGCTGGATTCAAATATTCCGTTGAGTTCACGGCCAGGGAAACCACATGTTCCAAGGAAAGTAATAAAGAGTTGACCGAAAGTTGCGAGACCAATAAACTTGGAGTGAGTAGTCATGCAACTCTACTTATTCTCTAGAAATCTACTTGATGTTTTATACTTGTATAAGTATTTCATGAATAACACTGTTCTCTCTTTTGGCTTTTGTTTTTATGAATAGAAAACTCTAAGATGCACTGCTGATGTTTACTATCTGGTAGGTGAGAAGAAGAGAATTGAAACTACTGTCAAATGTCAATCACCAGGAAAGGTATGATTCTAATTAGTCAGCTTGGATAAATTTTGCTTATTCTGCAAAGTCTTATTTTGGGTTGAAAATGAACAACTATTTAAATGAATTGGGGGGCTATCTTTTTAGAATAGAGAGAACTCTCACACTTCTGTGCTGACTTCTCTTTTTTATGTCTAGAAAGGAAAACAACAGCCAGACCTCTTAATCACTGCTCACAGGGCAGCACCTGCTATGCAGAGCCAATAGTATTATAGCTCTGTGGCTTTGACATGTGCCTCAGATGCTTCACTGGCAACTGCCTCCATCCTAGGGACTTGAAAGAAATACAGATCTCTGACCCCACTCCATACTGACTGAATCCAAATTTGCATTTTAACATGGTCCCCAGTGTTTCATACCCACATTCAAGTGTGAGAAGCATTTGTTTGTATCATATTTTCCAATTCTTAAGAGAACCTTGGGAAGTAAGTAAGACTTTTTCCCATCATCAAGGATGAGACACCAAAAATTATGAAGATGCTGAGATCCTGGAGTGGATAATAACATGATCAAGTGCTTCCTCTATCCTGGGCACTGTACTGAGGATGTCACACATATTTTTCTCTCGAAAACTCCATGAGGCAGGTGCTGCTGTTATTCCTATTTTAGAGGTGAGAAAATCGAAGTTAGTGGTGCGTGGATACAAGTGTAGGTCAAATCAGAATCTTCCATGTACAACTAGACTCTGGCTTATTTCATCCCAAAGACTTTCTCTTTGCACCACTGAACAATGCATCCAGCATCCTGTTCTCACCAGTAGTGAAATGCAGGCAGAAATCATACAGATCTTTAATGTGAGTTGCCTTTTGTCTTTTGTTTCTGATATAGATTTTTGCCCTGTATACGCATATATGTAGTCTAACACAGACATTACACAAAGCCTGCTTTTCCAGCTTATGAACATGTCCTAATGTGGTCCAGCCCAACAAAGTAACTGTGGGTATATGCTGCATATATATACAGTCCATAAAACCATTTAAGGTCTTTTGATATAAAAACTGTAATTGTGTGAACAGAAATAGTATCAATTAACAAATAATGTGCCATGGTATTATGTAGTTCAACCTCCCAATTTTTTTTTTCAACCTTCCAATTTTTGAGATTAAGAAAAACCTCTTCAGTTTACAGGACTATTATTAAGAAATATCTACACATTATAAAATCAATCAAAAGAAAAAAAGATATTAATTCTCATCCTTTCTTCAATATTAACATAGCATTTAAAACCTGGCTAAAAACTTCCTCCACATAAACCAAGACAGCATTCCCAGGTCTCAGTCCCTTCTTTCTTCACCGAGAGTGTGGTTTCCACAGTAATGCATTCATCTTAATATTTCTTGTGGTTGGGGTTGTGCAGGAGGCAGCTGGCCGATGTTTCTCTCTCATCGATGTTTCTAACTCTCTATCTCTCTACCTTCCTCTCTGTAAAAAATCAATAAAATATATCGTAAAAAATAAAAATAGCTGAAACCGGTTTGGCTCACTGGATAGAGGGTCAGCCTGCTGACTGAAGGGCCCCAAGTTTGATTCCAGTCAAGGGCATGTGCATTGGTTGCGGGCACATCCCCAGTGGGGGGGGTGCAAGAAGCAGCTGATCTATGATTCTCTCACATCGATGTTTCTAACACTCTATCCTTCTCTCTTCCTCTCTGTAAAAAGTCAATAAAATATATTTTTTTAAAAATAAATAAATGTAAATAAAACATGGCCATTAATGAGAGCATGACCAAGGCATGGGCACCAAAAGGGACATGGTCTTGCCCATGGACATCAAAGGCAACATGGCCAAGCCAATAGACATAAATATGAGCATAATCATGGCCATCAAAAACATAAAAATAAAGGAAAACATAATGGAAAGGCAATGATTGGAGAACAGGTTCTTCTGAAGATAGTACTACATCTGCACAGACACAAGAGAAGACAGAAGAACCAACATCCCTCCCTTCCTTAGCTCAGTCAGGTGTAGCAGTTGCCTTTCCTGAATTTTAGGACTTAGATCTCATTGCAGCTATCATGACTGATACTCTGCCAACTCCCACAAAAAATGATGGTTCGTGGATGCCTGAAATCCAGATAGAGCCAAATAGCCTTTCATTTAACCTGATACTGATTTCCCAGAAACAACTTCCCCCAAGTGTCCTGGACGCCCATGTAAGCCAGTTAATGGAATGAATCCAACAGTGGAAACAAAAGAATTTCATGATTTTGATCTCTCTGGTGCTCTTTATTAATGTATGCAGCCATGGGTGTTTCTTTAATACTTCATCTTCCCCTTTCATCGTTATTCACCTACCCTGGTCAAAATCCATGAAGCTTCAAAATAGCCTAGAGAGAAGTGGTGAGACTCCCAATGTGGACACTGTCAATCTCTATGGACAACACAAAACTGAGTGCAGGATTTTAAATCTTTTCTGAATCTTCCTCACAAGTTTTCTTAAGTAACACAGAAAATGGACAAACAAATGTGCCTTGTGGCCTACTGCAATTTGCTTTTCTTATAACAAATATGTACCTTAGAATGGATGTCATCGACTTCCATACAAAGATTCTTGCCATTTTGAATAAATAGTGGTATCTGATCCCTGAACACATATGAAAATAAGGAAAGTCAAGAGACTGAATACTGAACTTGTTAATAGGGCAAAAATAATTTAAAAAGCTATCAGAGGTCAAAGAGGGACAAGAAATACAGACTGGCTAAAGGGAGGACAAGGGGAAGTAAACTAATTGACTTTCTGTTTCCAAAATAGTCTAGTTTTATCAAATAGTTATTCCCACTTCACAAAGCTCTTCTAATTCTCTTTGAGTCAGAATGTTTCTCATAATCAGTAATTTCTATTTACTCATTAACTACTCTTTGCAACAAGGCTTTGAAATAGGAGTTTTCTGTTTGTTTATTTGTTGCTGAGGCTAGAATGAGCAATTCTTAGTTTCAGGAGTTCAGAGTGTACTGATAACAATGAAAAGCAGTACTGACATACAATGATATCTTTTTTTATAATTGACAAGAGAATATCATAAGATGTGATGCAAAATTTTATTCAGAAATTTTATGAGGAAATGCCTCTAGCGATATTTTATCATAGAATCATCTTTTTGCTACAACATTGAAGAGTGCTGATTTTTACACAAAAAGAACAACATGATTGTCATAAATTGCTTCTATTGTGAGGGAAGAATGCATTTCATAATCCTTGTTGTGTTCTGCCTAGGGAAACAGGACAGGGTTTAAACACCTACAGTCACTTGTGGATGCATGTGCCACTGCTACTTCAAGTTAGTGGATGCATTAGAGCCTCTGAATTTTTATTCCATTTTAAATGTTATCTGTACTTTTCAATAAAAAACCAATGATGTCATGAAAAGGTCTCATCTTATCAACTGGTTGCTTCACTCTTCTCTTGTTGAATGATAACATCGTATTAACAGAATTTTATTATACTTGCAGAAGCAACTAAGGCCTTGCGTGTACAAGGGCCAACCTCGGGACGCAGGAGCAATGCCAACATTTGAGGGTGAGGCCTCTTGAGCAGTGGGCAGGATCCGCAGGCCTGGCACAATAGCCCCAGCAACCTGTCAGCAGTCCTGAATGGAAGGACAAGAAGATGGGAGAGAATGTCAATAGAGAAGAATGCCATTTTATCATTCTGGTTCTGGGTGAAATAAAGTTTGATCTGCATGTTCTCACTCCTGGTTAATTCACAGTAGTGTGCTTTCAGCCACATCCATCCTGCAGCAAAGTCCAGTTGATCAGAGAGCATGCTCTACCATGGAGACTCACAGTGCAACTGAACAGACAGGGGTCCCTTAAGTGAGCCTTCCCTATCAGCAGGACCTCATCATAGGCTTCAAATAAGGATTTCCATCAACAATATAAAGAATCTCTCTACCTTTCCTTCTTCCTCTCTCTCCTCCCTCCCAACCCCCACCGTCCTGATTTCCAGCCAAAATTTGAAAGTGATTTGCTTGCTTTGTTATTATTTCTGATCTAGTTAACTATCAAAAAAGGGAACAAAAAATATATTATTTGTTACTAGGATGCCTATCAAATTTGCACTAGCAAAAAATATCAAACCTCAAAAAAGTTTAAAGAAAATTTAAAATTATCTTTCTAGTTCAAATAATGGTAATAATGAGAAATCTAATAGAATAAAAAGTGATAAGACATGTTTAAACTTTCTGTAATAGGTATTTACTGAATGCCTATTGGAGCCATTTGCCATGCTAGGCAGTTTTTGTTTGGTGTGTGACTTAGTCCCACAACAACTCTGAGGTCCCCATGACCACCTGTCATTTACAATGAGGAAACTAGCTCCCAGTGCCCTACTCAGGGTCACACAATTACTGCAAGACAGAGCTGGTGTTCAGATTCAAACCTTTGGAACTTCATTCATCAAGTTACCATGAGGCATTATTATCAATGTTTTCATTAAAAAAAAAAAAACACATATTTCTGAATCTGAGATGATCATTATCTCAATACAAAAACCCTGATTAAATATTTTACTGTGTCTGATGCTGTTCTGAGTACTCCTCAGGATCAACTATGATGGAGTCAAGCACTGGCACTGGCTATTTACTGCTTGCTTAGCACTAGGTACTGAAAAGAAGAGAAACAAGTGTTAAGAGACTTAACTCCTGAATTTACAATCACATTGAGAAGTTAAGACTAAAGCATGTGGAACAGACATTTAATCCTTTCAATAATCATTTGTGGAGCAGTAAGCAGACCTGATGAATGGGATAAGAAGACATGGAGGAGGTAGAAAGATAAAATTAAGCCCAACTGGTGGTTCGGATTTGAAGTAGTAGCAGAGAGCCTCTGACAGTTCTTAAGGGTAGACCTGCTGAAAGAGTGTATAAAACATATTATTCTGAAGGCTCTGGAAAGCATTGATTAGAATGAGATGAGACTGTACTCAAGACATAGTTTAAAGAAGGATAATAACTCGGGATAGTATATAAAAACTATGGGTCACACTCAGCAACATTAGGTGTTTCTATTTTAGACCTTTGTTAGATAAAATAATCATGAGTTTCCTGTGACCCAGAACCTACCTTTCACTCTTTAAATATTTGCACACTCCTCCCACTCCCAAGCCAAAGGCACACCTATGCCTCTGACCTTGGCTCTGTAACCACACAGTTTCATCCATTTATACTCCTCTTCAGGACAGGAATTTGTTCTTGCTCAGGTCAGCCCACTTTCCTCACAAGCTGAGCACCTCAAGCAGGATGCCCTTACCTGTTTTCTAGCCCTTTTTCCATTTCCTGCTAAGCCTCATCCCAGTCTGTCCTGTACTCCTGCTTTACCCCACCTCCCCCCAGGCTCCTGTTGCTGCTCTGTGGGAGAAGCCAGACCCCCGCCAAGATTCCTATGAGAACACTTGAAAGAATCTGGTAGATATGATAACAACCCACTGTTCCAGAATTTCTAGTGTCTCTACCTATAAGTTAGGTGATCAGTAAGCAGAACTAGAGGCTCTGTGCACAAAATTCATGCATTCGGGGAGAGTTTCTCAACCTGGCCTGTGCCTTCTTTCAGTCTGGGAGCCATCAGGGGATGTCTGACTGATGGCTTAGGCTTATCCCCTGTGGTAAGCAGACCTAAGCCAGCAGTTGCACATCATTAGCACTGCTGTGGAACTGGAGAGGCTCCTGCCACTGCTGCTGCACTTGCCAGCAGTGAGCCTAGCTTCTGACTGAGCAGTGCTCGCCCCATGGGAGAGCACTCACCACCAGGGGCAGCTCTTTCTTTGCAACATCAGCCCCCTGGTGGTCAGTGCACTTCATAGCAACCAGTCATTCCACCATTCAGTCAATTTGAATATTAACCTTTTATTACTTATCTAAATACCTAGCAAAAATTGCCCTTGTTAAATTATTTACCTTCAGCCTTTATTTTACAAGAATCTCCATTTGGCCACTACATGCTGAGTCTTGCAAAAGTTTAACTGGAGGTATTGCCGCGTATTCATATTAGAGGCAGTGCAGTAAAATGGTTAAGAACCAGGGTTCTGCCAAAACAGGTTTGTCTCAGTGGTAGAGCATCGGTCTGCGGACTGAAAGGTCCCGAGTTCGATTCCGGTCAGGGGCATGTACGTTGGTTGCGGACACATCCCCGGTGAGGGTTGTGCAGGAGGCAGCTGGTCGATGTTTCTCTCTCATCGACGTTTCTAGCTATCTCTCTCCCTTCCTCTCTGTTAAAAAAATCAATAAAATATATATATTTTTAACACAAAAAGAATAAAAATTCTGTTCCTGACTTTCCTTATCCTATAACCTGGACACCCAGAAAAAAACAGCATGCCAAAAAGAACACATGGAGGTGAAGGTTTATCTACCCCAGCTGCCCTGATAACCATCTTGTGAAAAGTCACTATTCCCCTCTCCATTCCACATCATTGGCCATTCTCTGGCTCTGGACTGTCAGGAAGCTTTCCCAAAGCCAGTAAGAAGCTTCAACAATGCTAAATGTCACTTCCTAGTGAAAAAGAATTTGGGAGGTGCTGAGGCATGGGTGGGGACTTGCAACCTAGTTCAGTATCTGGTTAAAACTGTAGTCTTACTTCCCTACTCTGACTGACTTGGGTGGACCTGCAGAGCCTAACCCCAGGGCCCTGCCACAGGTGACTTGGATGGAGCTTCGGGGACCCTCAAGGGCCCACCACAGGGGGAGATATATATACATCAGAGCTTCCCCAGGAGTTCAGTTCAGGCTTTAGATCCAGAATTCCCCTGGACTAGCAGATCTGTGAAGGAAAGATTAAAGATTCCTCCCTCATAATAAAGAGCATTATAAACTGATGAACCAAAAGATAGATATAGAGACAGTATATCAACAAGTAGACTGTCAAATTACAGCGGGGAGGGGAGGAAGATCTGGGGGAGATAATAGATCAACGGAAGGACTTTTATACATGCATATAAGTACAACCAATGGACACAAAACTCTGGGGAGGGAGGGGATATGTGGGAGGAGGGAGGGGGGCAAAAAAAATCAATAAAATATATTTTTAAAAAAAGATTTTTTTAAAAATTGATCGTGAGGGAGAAACTTTGTTATCAAAGCATAACATCAATTAAGCCTAATTCCTTTTGAAGCGTTGTGTTTCTCTCTGAAATCAATAAAAATATAATTTAAAAAAAAAAATAAATAAATAAATAAATAAAGGAGAATGGAACCCTTCCTAAATAATAAAAATAATATACCAAAAATAAAAATAAAAAAATAAAGGTTCCTCCCTCAAAGTGCTGGCTGATCATTTTCCCATGCATTCTGCCACAACACTAGATCAGAAAGTTCCCCAGGACAGACTATCTCTCCTACTCACCATCAGTCTTTCTCCTCCTGGTCATTGCCACCCTAGCACTTTCAATGGCTCCCTGAGATGCCTGTCTCATTTGAAGCTACTCCAATAACTGGATGGCATCACTAGCATTGTGTCTGTATTTAAGGTTCAACAAAGCAAGTGGAAGACAAGGCAAGGCTCTCATGAGTTACTCTAAGTCTTAGCAAAACAGTGCTGTAGGAAGAGCTTATCTCATCCTTGGTGACTTTTCCCTGTCCCATTCACTTCTCTTCACCAGCATTTGGTTTGTCCAGAGTGCTCAATAGTGGACATGACCAATACAGCAAAAATTGAAAAACTTAATTAAGGAATACAACTCATTGAAGCATAAAAAGTTTTGTTTTTAATCAATAGCATCCCCAAAACCCACCTTTGTGAGATCCCCTTAATAACACCTGGGCCAGATTTCATACTTTTCCAGTCATTCTAAGTTGCACTGGGGTGGTACTGTTTGGGTATTTAAAAGATAGTGTTGTTAATATTAAAAGTTCAATATAAAAAATCAAAATGTGTCCCTTCCACCTTTAGCACTCCTTAAGCCAATCTATGATTCTGGGAAGTATGGTCTGCTTTTTGTGTGGTGTACCCTGTCCTTTCCTTCTCTCTTCAAACTCCTTCCAGGTTTTGTCTGGAGCCCCCATAGTTCTCAACCTTGACTACACATTTGAATCATTTTGGAGTTTCAAAACTACCAACACATGGGTTAAATAACTAAAGATCCAGGTTGAATTGCTCTCAGTGGAGGCCTGGACATAAGGACTTTTGAAAACTTCTCGGTCGATTCTAGATAAGGCTGAACACCATTGCTGTGGACACTTATAGACACTCACTCCAGTGAAGAGAGCCGAGAGGGAGATGCTGTCTAGGTGGGAAAGGAATCTTGACTGATTCCCTCTAGTCTGATGTTACTGGGTTCTCCTGGTATGAAGGATCCCTATAGGTATATTGGTTTCTTTGGAGGAATAAGAGCCCAGCTCTGTCCCACACTGCTCAGCCCCTCTGCTAGAGGTGTATTCTATCTAACTCCTTCTCTGGGATGAGTGGGCATCAAATAGTTTGACTTCTACCTTCGCCACAGTTCTCTTCAACAGGAACCAATATTTTTTGCATACTTTGAGAGTCATGGGGAACTGGAATGATAGCTGGCATCCTCAACTTCTTTCAGGCACAATAATAATAATAACAACAAAAATAATCTCAATAACTTCATTTATTCAGCATCTGAATCTGTATCAAGAATTATATTATTTACTTTTTAAGTTTTATATATGAGGAAACAGAGACTCAAATTCGTTTCATATCTTCCCCAGCATCTCACAAGACTAGGGTAACAAT